ACAAGTGCTGGTATTTCTCATGTGACAATGACATAAGGCACGCTGAGTTTTAGGTCTGGTGACCTATGAAGGTTAAGCCTCAACCAAGTTGAGCGTTGTGGGGTGTGACAGGGTCCAAAACAGGCACTTGAGCAAACTGTGAATGTGTGATTCCACTGGGTCCCCCTGTAGAACCAGAATCATGTTCAAAGGCTAACGGAGTGCAAAAAGCACTAAATAATGGATGCGGTAATGGGCTACTTAGCTGACGTTTTCCTCTCCACTCAGGGATGTGCCTTCCCAACAGCCCCAAAGAGGCCAGGATATTTGTCTAAAGAACACCAGAAGCATTATCATCTGGCAGAAAGAAAGGCTACCCGTTTCTGAGAAGGAAACTGATGATAAATTCATCAGTTCTGAGTACCACCTAGTAGAGGAAATAAAAACTCAGGAGCCAGAAGGACCTTAATGATATGCCCAGAAGGGGCTGTGCCCATCCAAGTCCTGCTCATCCTTCAAGGCTTTGCCCAAGTTATACGCTCTTTCCTCCCTGCCTCTCTAGTCGGCTAATATTCCCTATCAGCAAGCATCAATTCTATCGGAGTTTGGAGACCCTGGCATGAAAATAAAGCCTCTGTACAAATCTTCTAGCTGCCTTGACTAGGAAGAGAGGAAATGTATATTTCTGGGAGCGAATGGGATTAATCCTTATCTTGTCTCAGAGTCCTAGGTAAGAGTGGAGGGGAGTGTAGTATGACCCTAAGAACAAATCTGTTACAGGAAGGTAACATTATAGGTCCGGATTAGGACAAACAAAGCATCCTAACACATTATTTGTGCAAAAGGGAACAAGAAAGGGGCTGGTAGAGCTTGGCTCCCCAAGGCTATGGTGCCTGGTGGTGTAAACCAGGGTGTGGATGCATGATGTCAGAGAGGAGACTGAAGACAGAGAACCGGCTCTCTGTCTAGACCAACAGCCCAACTGATGGAGACAAAACTGTGTCCCATCAGGTGATGCACTGGGGTGGGCAAGACCCAGAAGAAATGCCACGACTTCTCAAACTCTAGAACCCAATGCACCAAACGTGACACCTTGATGAGGACACCTCTGGCCATGTAGGGTGACAGTGAGCCACCCTAGTCCAGGGGACTGAGACTCCAGGACAGAGGTTTTAGAGCTGCAATCAAGGATCCCCCTGGCTTCAAGGCCTATAAAAATTTACTTGGGCACATGAGATTCCCGCCACCCACGGGGAAAGAGTATACCATCAAAAGCTCAAAGGGAGCAGAAATCCTCAGAGGAGTTACTGTAGAAAGAGTGATGATTAAAAGCGATTCCTGACCTCAAGGAGCTCACAGAGCAGAACAGTAACAGCTCACAGCTGTTGAATCCCTACTCTGCACCAAGCACTGTGTTGATTCATATTCTTCAGCTCACTTAGTCCTTAACACAAAAAACTCTAAGGCAGGTACCATTAACCCCGAAGCCAAGGCCTTTAAGAAACTCAAAGTCCAATGGCTCACATGGATTCATTAAGAAAAGGTAACAGTGCATTGTGATCATTGCACAGAGAAGCACAGAGGTCTCCCGGGGGAGCTGTTTACTCTGGGGTTAAAAAAAAAGGCTTCCTAGAGGAGGTGTGTAATTACCTAGCATACTTGCAATCCCCGCCTCAGTGTGAACTGTTGGCTGGTGGATTGCTCGTGCCGACAACTGACGGTAATGTTCTCGTTTAATCTAATCCATATCCCCTGTTAAGGTTTTACATAAATGTCTCCTTTAGTCCTCCAAACAAAGCTAAAAGGCAGGCATTCCTTTCTCTTTGCAGGTTATGACACTGGGGTTTAGAGATGGAAAAAGATGCTCAAGGACCCTTAGCGGGTGGCCAGGATGAGAGCATACCCAAGTCTGATGCTGAAGATCAGGCCATTTCTTCTGGGGCTGATGTGTGATCTTCCCCAGTGACAGCCCCAAGCTGAGTCTCTTACTGGGCTCTGGGCAGACTGGGCTCTGGACCCAAAGAAGAAGAAACCGGTGGTTCTTAGAGGAACAGGCCACTGGACAGTTTCCCTTCTTGTGGGAAACTTGTAGAAGCTGTCAAACTGGCTTGAAGCTGCTTAATATGCACTGATTTGGCTGTCTTTGGTTTATTTGTCTTTCTGGTTAAGGAGCAGGTGGTGAGGGAGCAAACATCGAGATCACAGCAGAGATTTTCAGGGCACAGAGGTATCCCAGGGAATATGCACTCATCAGGGAGGCAGGTCTACAGGGGCCAGCTTGGAGAACAGGAAGGTCCCAGAACAGTGAGGGATGTGGGCTGTGGGATATTTAAAGTACCTCTGGGAAGTTTAGGCAAGTGGGATCAAGTTTCCAATACATATGCTGTTTTCTCCTCAAAATCATTCAGTAAGTTGGGATTAGTAACTCCTTTGATAGATGAGAGCAGGGAGGTGTAGAGAAACAAGGGAACTTATCAGAAGTCCTACAGGTAGTAAGAACAGGAGTTGAGATACCAAACGCAGGCATCTGCCCCTCCACTAGAGTTGATACTTTTGACTTGCTACCTGTCTCTGGCTTTTAGAAATGTTGAAATTGTTCACGGAAAAGCACAGATGCTTCTAGGACTCTATGCGAACAGAGGGTTGGAAGCTACTGCTGGCCGTTCAGGCAGCCCAGATATTTCCCAAGCAAAACCTGAGCATGTTTACTTAATGCCTATTTCAGAATCAGATAAGCAGGAAATTCCCTTTAAAAGAAAGTGTAAGGATTTTCAATTCTTTCTACAGGCAGAGTCATGTGTATATTTATGAAACACCCCTTGAGCGGCTGTGTCATCCCTGCCTTTCACATGCCAGACCCTGGGCTTGCTTCTGGTAATCCAAGGACCTCAGGAAGTTCCTGGAAGTAAGGAGCCAGGAGAAGAGTTGGGATGCTGTGTGCTAAGAGCTGTTAACAGAGGAATGATAGGGAGTGGGGCACAGAGGTAGGGGTGATCTGCTCACACTTAGCAGAAGACCACAAAGTCTCCCTGAGTCCCCATAGCCTGAAGCTAAGCTGGGCTATTAGGGGAGGATGTGGCTCCTTCAGAAGCTTGCAGAATTCAGTAGAGCTGGACCAGGGGGAGGTAGACCAGAGATCCGGGCTGAGGCTGGCATCTGAGTGCCGTGTATGTCAGGCTAAGGAGCTTGGGCTTTTTTTGTTTGGTTGGGTTTTTTTTTTTTCAGCTATTAAGCATGGAGATGGTGTGGCCAGACTGGTTAATAAATTCACGAAAACCAAGGCGGCAAATGGAGCATGTTTCCTCACGTATCTAAACCTGTTAGGGGCAAGCGAAGCAATTTGGGCACAAATTGAATTGTAGGGAGCTGTGTGATGGGAGCTGAACCAAACGGAAACACGAACGGACCAGTGTCTCCGTGATAAGAAGGCTTGACAAATGCAAAGGCCTCAAGGAGAAAAACGGCTTTTTCTCTGAGCGACACTCCACTTCACGTTCTCAACTACCTCGTAGACTCAAGTTTTTGAGGACCCCATTCAAATATGCTGTCTCATGAAACCTAACATGCGTTGGCTTTCGGGAGCAGGATTTAGGTGGGGTCTGGTGGATGCAGGATATTGGGAAGACGAATGGACGCTGATAGGAAAAGGAAGAAATTTCACCAGGTGAAAAGACAACAGGGGCAGAGGAGGGTAAGAATGAGCCAGAAAGACTCTCAACTCAGGACAGAAGGTCAGGTTTGAAAGGGACAACAGGAGCTCCTCTTTCCCCTCTGCCCATTCCACATTTGAATCCTCCTATAGTTTTTCTGACAGGGGGCCTTTTAGGCTCTGCTTGCACCAGCTCCAGTGATGGGGAGCTCACTCCCCTAGGTGCCAGCTGTTCTAACTCTTCACAGCTCTGACCACTGCTCAGGAAGGTCACCGTCACTTTGGGCTGGCCAATACAGAACAGTGTAAGCCCTCTTCCAACCGGTAGCCCTGGGGACTCCCATCTCCACGTTTATGGTTCCTTTTCTCCAGGCCAAGCATTTCTAGGTCCTTCAGTTGCTGCCCTGGGAATGGGGTTTCAAACTGCCCTATCAATCTGACCTTGAAAAATGTGGGGGTGTCTTTGTGTCTCTCACAGGGTGGGGTCCAGGACCAATAATAACATCCCAGAGAGTCATCCAGCCTCACAACAGTCCTGTTAGGGTCAGGGCTGGAGTTCCTGGGGGTCTGTTTTCAAAGCCTGTGCTCTTTGTACCCATCACTGAGCTGAATGAGATCAGCGGTGACTAAACATCCTAGTTCTGTTTACACAGGCCGCGGTGAAGTCCAATGTCCCCTTGGGCAAGAGTCCCCCAGTGCTCCTGAATCACGTACAGAGGCTGCCTTCCGCACGCCGACTGGATGGGGGGCCGAAATCTGGGCCTGGCCTAGCACTGGCTTGTGGCAGTGTCACACAGCTTGATGTTTTCCATTTCCAGGAGTCCCACTGGACCCCGATGGGGTCCAGATGTAGTGGACCTGCTGGGTTCTTTGCAAGCCCACTACGCGTGGCCTTTTTCTTGGTGGTCTGTCCACTGGCTGGACCCTTAGACACTCTAAAGGCCCTGGCTGGCTCTTCTATGATCCCTCTGAGACCTGTCAACCACTTTTAAATCGGATGGGCAACTCTTCCCAGGATCGAGACACTGCCCCCTATTTGATCAGATATAATTAAGTCTTTGGCCGGAGACTTTTGTCATGGAACAACTCAGACCTTGAGACCCCTGGACATAGTGGTTTGTGCAGTTCAACTCACCGCCACGCAGGGGGCCAGACCTCGGTCCAGGTTGGCAACCCTTCCTCAGCCTCACCATTTCCGCCTTCTGCCCCCTTCCCTCTGACTCACTGAGGAGTCCGTGCCACGTAGGCCCTGGCAAAGCTCTCTAAGTTATAACGCCTATCCAGAAGAGGGGTTCCCTTCCTCAAGCTGTAGACACAGCCGCGTAGGAGTGCAGGTCACGGGAGCCTGGCCGAAGAGAGAAGATTTACTTACACTTACAGGTTGACTTTTTGGCACATCATAAACACCTTCCTTCTTTTGGCTGGTGGGAACCTATGGAAAAATCAAATTCGACACAGTCAAAACACTTTGATACTCCACTTTCAGAGAACAAAGCCATCACGCTTCAACTTCAAGCTGGCTCAAGTGTGTGTGAGAATGGCCCCTGAGGCCCGAGGGTCCCAAATCAAAGGGGCTTCCGCAAGTGTACAAGCAGGAGGCCAGGCTCCTTCCCTGAGGAAAGCTGGATGAGGGAGGAGTGTGCGAGTCACTTAAATGAGTGCAGGGTGTCTCTGCCATCGGGCTCCTCATGGAATCACAGGACAGGAGGCTGCAGGGACCTCAGAGGTCATATGGTGGAAAAAATAATCCTCATTTCGCCAAAGACAGAAATGAGCCTCAGAGAGGTGCTCTGACTTGTCCCAAGTGATTAAAATTAGTTTGCAGCTGAGTTTAAGCTGAGAGTCAGGTTATTTACAATATAGCAAACATCAAGGTCTCAGCATAAAGAACGGCTTCTGCTGGGATCATGGACAAGCTGTCTGATATTTACCCAAAGTGTCTTCCAAGAAAAGGGACCGTTAATGGCAGGGAAAGCGCAAAACAAGAGTCGAGAAAATTCCAATTGTTTTTTTTTTTTTAAATTTTTTTTTCAACATATTTATTTATTTTTGGGACAGAGAGAGACAGAGCATGAGTGGGGGAGGGGCAGAGAGAGAGGGAGACACAGAATCGGAAACAGGCTCCAGGCTCCGAGCCATCAGCCCAGAGCCTGACGCGGGGCTCGAACTCACGGACCGCGAGATTGTGACCTGGCTGAAGTCGGGCGCTTAACCGACTGCGCCACCCAGGCGCCCCCCAATTGTTTTTTAATATGTATCTGTATTTTCTTTCCTCCCTCTCTCCTCGTACTTCTCCATCTGGTCTTATCGGGCCACTTGGTAACGGTCACACCCTGAACAGGCCACAGCCCCTCTGAGCATCACGATCCTAAAATGGGTGTTACTGGCTCTGCTTCTGATTTGGGTTACTGTGGGAATCCAACGACAAAGTAGACAGTAAATACAGACGATTGGGAGCTGTGATACTGTGAAGTGTTAGAATGAGAGCTTCTTTTATTGCTGACACATCGTATAAATAAGGATCAGCATGTATTTTATAATATTAACAACAGTAGATAGGTTGAACACTTTTCTAATGGGCCAGTCAGGGTGTTACCCTGAAACATTCCGGATCGAGAGCAATCATGTGTGCTTCCCAGGAACCAGCACAGTGTAGCTCCTACCCCCATCTGAGGCATCAGCCTGCAGTGGTCTTCTGTCTGCTAATCTGTGTTTCTTTTCACCAGACTGGGAGCTCTTTAAGAGCAGGCACAGTGCCCAACGCTCAGTAGGCATCTGGTAGATGTCTGCTGCGTAAATGTTTCATAAGAAACGTGGGGACCAGTGAAGGAAAAGAAAAAGTGTCTTTTAGGCTTGGACCAGCTAACTATACCATTAACAAGAAGGAAGAATTTGGGCTCATTCCTCGAGACCCTGTGCTATTTCCACGCTCATCAATTTAGCTTAAAATCCTTCTAATAATCCTAAGAGCTCGGTATTAGAATCTTCACTTTAGGTGGTGAAAAACTGAGGCTCAGAGATGTTAGGGAAACTTTTCCAAAGCTTTAAAGCTAGTTAAGTGGTGAGATTCAAACCCAGCTCTTTCTGGCTACCAAACAAAATATTTATTACTAACAGCCCAAACTGACATTGACAGGGCACTTCCTAGGTGCCAGCCACTGTTCTGAGTGTTTACATGTATTTGCATGCAGTCCTCAAGACAAGTCAGTTGGGCAAGGATGACAACTGTCACAATGTTGCAGAGGAGGAAAATGAAGCCCAGAGAGCATCCTGCAGGTGGGGGGGGGGGGGGCTAGAGCTGGAGTTCTGGCAGTTCGCGTTTTAACTACTACGCGGTATAGACAGTTGCACCTCACCCCTGGTCCCACCATTCCCTAGCTGTTTTTGATTGCACCCTTTTCTCTGACATCACATTCTACACTTGCAGAAGGTTGTGCACGTTCCTGCAGAAAACGGGAGGTCCATGGCGGAGCACGGACCATACAGAAAGATGCGCTTCCTGAGCTGCTCTCGCAAACCCTAGTTTGCAGGTAGCCAATGACGAATGTAATTTCTTTGCTCCCGATAACTCAGCTCCCTCTAAAAGGAATCCTCTAAGAATGCCTACAGAGTCCTTGTTAACAAGGGCCAATAAATTACCAGCCCGCACTTGTATTTTTACTGGCTCACCCTTTCCTGAGCAACACGAACAGCATTTCTGTTCCTCGTAATTCACTGCTCACTATGGGCACTTAGCAAGTTGAACCGCAGCTGACTCTCAATTATCCCTGCAAATGGAGGAGAAGCGGCAGGATGGATAAACCCAAACTGTGCATAATTGAAAAAGCTTTGCTACTTGGTTCTCCCATGGGCGACATATCAATCTGCCTGTTTGTCCTTAAAGATTTATGTCGGGCAGGATACATTCTTGGGAGCCTTGCCTGGCTCTCTACCTGGTCGGAGCCTTCCTCTGGACTCTTGTAAGCTCTGGTACATTCTTCCACTAAAAAATAAAAGTGGCCAAGAACCTACTATGTACCAGGCTTTGTGGTTTGCCAGGGACAGTGATGGCAAACAAGCTGGATAAGGCCCCCGAGGGACCGGAGCTCCTTGTTTTACTGGGAGGAGTTGAGAAAGTAATTGGGTTACTCACACGAGTGTCAAAAGTGCTTTATCTTATATAGGAGCTATCAACCCACACTGCAGCTGCCCGTGAGCTTGTGCAGTGCAGGGCAGGTATTTTGCTAACCTGTTTCTCATCCCTGGTTACACAGGAAATGTTTAAGCACTGAACATTTACCATGTATGTGCTAAGGGCAGAAGTGTTTAAGGGACAAAGACCAGAACGTGCCTCGTGTGCTGGTTCTCACCCCTGCCTGGCTGGTCCACTCTGCCCGCAGACCATTTCAGTAATATGGCGGTGTAGAGTGATGGCAGTTCTCAACCCAAAGGAAGCGGGAGATCTGTTTAAAAAATTTTTTTAACGTGTATTTATTTTTGAGACAGAGCATGAACAGGGGAGGAGCAGAGAGAGAGGGAGACACAGAATCTGAAACAGGCTCCAGGCTCTGAGCTGTCAGCACAGAGCCCGACACAGGGCTCAAACTCACGGACCTCGAGATCATGACCTGAGCCGAAGTTGGACGCTTAACCGACTGAGCCACCCAGGCGGCCCAGGAAGCGGGAGATCTGGTTCCTAATCCTGGCTCTGCCACAGGCTGTGAGTCCTCAGAGGGCCCCTCTGTCCTCTGAGCCTCTGTTTTCTCATGTAGCTGTGGCGGGCAAGCCAGGGGGTGCCTAGACACGCGTTGAGGGTGGGGACCACGCTGTGGTCTATCACATCCCCGTGTGCCTGGCACACACTAGGTGCTCCATACACAATTGCTTCTTGAACAAAGGAGTTAATAGATGTCAAACTACTGTAAAAGCTATACATTAAGCACTATATGTACAGAAGACATTTTAGCTCAGTGACATACTAATAGTGTTAGAGAGGCAGTTTCAGGGTTGAGTGACATTGGAGCAGAGAGTTATCATTTTAAAATAACAATACTTGACACCTCACGGGCGATTAAAAATGATTTTCAAACCAAAGGACTCAGAGAATGTCTGTGTGGAAAGCCGCAATCTCGCCCGTGTGTTAACGTTAACGTACTAAAGAATTACCAGGTTTACAGCTGAGGCTCTGGCCTTGGGCGCAGCACTCAAACTGGAGGACTTGATTTTCTTCCATTTAAAACGATAGCCATCATAGCTGTGCTTATCTTACTGAGTTACTGCAAGGGTCAAAATCAGGTGAGGTGTAAAAAACCCTTGTACTGCAAGGTTCTGTGTTGCTTTAGAAAGATGACTGATAACTTTTTCTGATGCGCGCAAAAAGAAAGACAATTACTATTATTAATCCAGTTTGGAAAATGAGACTACTGATCCTCAAAGAGAGGTTCCATTTACTCAAGAGTCTCTCCCTCCCTCATGCCGGAGTTATAAATAGCAAAGTCAAGTGAGGCTGCAACTTTCCGCTAGGCTCTCTGACAAGATGAGGCGACCAAGTCATGTTCTGCTTCACTTAATATAACATCATAAGACCTCGTGAACAGCATCTGATATTGACAAAGTTCTCAGGAAGTAGAGGAACTACCATTTACACAGAACCTACTACGTACCAAGAGCTTTACACCTTCACATCCCTTCTAGAGGCAGATAATGCAGCATTCCTAATTTTATAGACTGGGAGATCGGGATACAGAAGTTAGCACTTGATCCAAGGCCACAAAACGGCTAAAGGATTAGGCCCCAGGTCTGTCTGCCTCATTCCTCATTCTGGAAAGCAGGGGATGGGATTAAAATCTGAGACTACCCTGGGCCAAGCTGAAGACTTGGAGATACTGTAGTCTCCTCAGGATGAATAGCTGTGGAATAATCAGAGGCCCTCAAAACACAAAGAAGAGTGCGGCTCCCTAATCACAGCTCCTTAAAAGCTCAGCTTTATCTTTGGGCCCAAGAGCTTATCTTGTGTTGAGCAAATGGAGGCCCAGCTGACTGGCAAAGCAAGAGAGGAGAAGAGAGGGTGATAAAATATTCATTTCCTTAAACGGTACCTTCCTGCTAATGATGGACAGCCGGAAAGATCCGGAGGTCACAACTGTTAAAACAAGTGTGATTTTTAGATAGTGACTTGGAGCCTACGCAGAATCTAATCGTGAAACTCTGCATCAGGATATTCCGGCTGAGAAGAGCCCGGGGATTCATGCATTTACCGGGGTCAGAGAGACTTGGCTGGGAGTGGGAGTTCTGCCTCTTGGAGCTCTGTGACCTTGGGCAAGACATCTTATCTGTGTGAGCCTCAGGGTTCCATCTGTAAGGTGGGAATGAGGGTTCAAGCCACACGGTCTTGTTGTGAGAGATAGGATATTGCATGTAAACCCCATTCATGGAGCCCTCAATAAATG